GAATTTTATATTGCATCTCTAAAATAATAATGCATATCTAAAAATAAAATATTGCTTATTTATCATTATTTTGTAAACATTGCAATATTTTTCAATTGTACCTGCATTTTACCACGAAATATTAACCAAGTGGGTATTTTGCTTTCTAAACTACTAGGTATTAAGGATTAGGGAAATTAGGGGATGATAGGGATAGCAAATGGCTTCATAAAATTTATTTGTTTTAGTGTAAAAAGGTAGTTCATTCAGAATTATTCAAAATTTATTTTGGTTAAGTATTGTTATTGATTGTGTTCCTGCAAAAGTGCCGTTAGTGTGAAAGTAAAAGCGTTCATTGTAAAAATGCCGAAACAAGCTACGGGAAAAATGCAAAGATGAAGAAATGGATACATGGAAAAAGTGATTTGAGAATCGTAGACTCTAATCACGTTTTTTGCTCTACCTGCGACAAACTGGTAAAAATAACTAACCAATAAACCTGTAACAGAAAATAAATTACATTCATTCTTTTTTCGCCAACAGACAACAAGGAAGTTCTTAGTATCATAAATAACTTAAAAACTGTTAAGACCCCAGGTATAGATACTATTAAAAGTGAAACTATAAGAAGCATTTCGAAAGAAAGCTCCTTTATTAGTTAATCTCATAAATAATATATTTAAAACAGGAATTTGCTTAGATGAATTTAAAAAAGCAGTAGTAGTCCCTGTTTTTAAGAAGGGAGTAGGGAAGAATATTAGTAATTATAGGCCTATATCCCTCATAAGTACATATTAAAGGAAAAATAAGTAACGAAGAAAATTTAGTTATAGGTGTGCCACAAGGAACTGTTTGGGTCCTCTATTCTTTTTGCTTTACATTAATGGTTCACTATAACAGGTTATTACTGAAAAGATATATTGTTTTGCAAATGACACGGTAATTTTATGGTCGTCTGATACTTGGGAAGGACTTAAAGACCTTGTGGAGAGAGACATGCTAAAAATACTATATTGGTTTAATCACCATTTACTTACAGTAAACTTTGACAAAACCATTTTTATCCCCTTCACAAGTTATGAAAGCCACTTACCCGTGTATAATTCTTTAACCATACAAACACCAGCTGGAAATTTAATTATAATTATGATAGACCCACGCCTACGATGGAACCATCATATTCAACAAGTTATAAATACTTACCGCTAACCAATTAAGAATGCTATATTATTCTCTAGTAGGTAAAAGGTAAGAGAGGTAAAAGGTAAGAGAGGTAAAAGTGGTATTTATACCCAAACCTGGAAAGATGGATTACACTGTCCCAAAAACATATTGACCAATTAGTCTTACATCGTTTTCCATGAAGACATTGGAAAGACTATGCGAAAGGTACATAAGGGACGCGGTGATTACAACAACACTACACCCAAACCAACATGCATACACCCCAGGCAGATCTACTGATTTCATAGACATAGAAAGTGCTTTTGATAAAACCACCTTCCCAAAGATAATACACTCACTAACCAACAGGAATGTTCCATAAATGGTTAGTGGGTGGATACATAACATGCTCTCAAAGCGAGCAGTATATATAAGTGTAGAAGATGTAAATATAAGAGGCTTGGTTGCAAGGAGATGTCCACCTCCCGTGTGCTATCACCTCTACTGTGGAATATGGTCCTCGACACCCTCATCAGCCGCCTCAATAATGACAGTCACTACACAATCGCATATGCAGATGACCTGGTCATTCTGCAAACAGGGAATTTTGAGTGCATACTCTACGAAAAAATGCAAGTAGCTCTAAAAATTATAGAACAGTGGTGGAAGGACCATTCACTGTCTATTAATCCTAAAAATACAGAAATGGTCCGTTTCACAAGGAAAATTATGAAAATGGAATTAAAACCTCCAGAACTCCTAAATACAAAACTAAACTTTGCGACAGAGGTGAAGTACCTAGGTCTCACCTTTGACAGCTAGTTAACATGGAACTCGCATTTAGAAAACAGAGTTAAAAGAGTATACATTGCTTATGAACAATGCTGCCGTACTGTGGGACGCACCTGGGGTTTCTCCCCCAGAGTCGTCGTATGAACTTACACGGCTATCATAAGACCTATGCTAACATACAGTGCAGTTGTTTGGATGCCGAAAACCTAAAAACTAACAGCTATCCGTAAACTAGAACAAATTGAAAGAACAGCATGTCTCAACATAACAAGAGCCATGAAAACAACACCGACTAGAACGATGGAAGTCATTTTTAGTCTCACTCCCCTTGATATTTACATCAAGGAGGTTACACTGACGACAAAGACACGCCTCCGCACGGTCTGAATAGAACCTGATGTAGGATCTGGTGAGGCGAGACGTCACTTTTGGCAGGAGGCGCTCGATCCGCTCCTACTGCTTCAAGCGAACATGGACTCCATCTCACCGAGATATATCTTCCATAAGGTATATAAAGTTATAATAGAACAAATAGAAGAGCCAGAAGTGGCAGATACGATTCATATCTACACTGACGGTTCTAAACCAAAACAAGGCTCAGGATGCGGAATATACTCTAGATTCTTAAACCTTAACATAAAATGGGCTGTGAGCAATAGTGCCAGTATAGTTCAAACAGAGCTAACGGGGATTCTCATAGCAGCAAAAGAAATAACCAGAAATAATATCACTGGAAGGAACATGCTCATCTATACAGATAGCAGACAAGCACTACTCACCCTGAACAGACCACGAATTTATTCAGGGTTAGTACTAGAATGTCATGAACCTTTGGCCGAAGTATCCATCAACAATGTGGTCACCTTAAGATGGATCAAAGGTCACGCCACATCTTGCTGATTTACTAGCCAAGAAAGCAGCCAACCAAATACTTTTTGGACCTGGCCCTTCTATTGGCCTGACAAAATCGGTAGTGATAGACCTAATTAAATAACATTCCCTTGTGAAATTCAAGGAAAGATGGGATGAAACAAGAAACTGCAGAGTTGTCAGGGAGCCCTTAAGTTATCCTGACAACACTGCAGCAAACAAATACTTAACTATGACTAGACAGAATCTGCGTCTGGTCAGAGGCATTCTGACTGGTCATTGCCAAGTACAGAAGCATCTCCATATCATGGGGCTGTCAGAATCCGCACTCTGCAGAGGGTGTGAACAAGAAGATGAGAACATCGAGCATATCCTTTACGATTGCCCGACGCTCTTATTTATTAGAAGATTTGTGTTCGGCGAGTATCGGCTAACACCGGCCGATATAAGAGAAGCACCTCTTGGCGACGTTGTCAACTACATTAAATCTGTAGACTTGCTCACGAGCTGGGAGGTGCCTATCATCTTAGGAGGATGCACAATGGGCCAAATGAGGCCTAAGTGCCGTGGGGGTAACGCACCCTCCACACGTTATAGATACAAATTATTCTCTAGTGGAGTCACGTATCAATATATGTTAGTGGAGCTCCTCATTTACTTATTTGTAACCACTATTTTTTGCAAATAATATAACTTCATTCAAAATTTGTGTATATGTTACGGTCAGAGTCGCAAGTCCAAGAAATGACGTCAATGACCGGCCAAAGACGTCACAGCCTATGCAAGTTGTTCATTCTCATCATTGGCGGGGCTTTCACGTCAATGCTCATTTAATTTGGCCATTCATGATAATGCCGTCTTTCTCCGGCCATTATCGTCAATGTATACAAACAATTGGCCAATGCTGAAAACGTTAGAATTTAGTTTACTTTAGTTTGAGAGCAGGTGCAGTAAACAAAGTGCGCGCCAGTTCGTGTTTTAAGTGCTTTTTTATTTGTGCTATTTATCAACAATGGAACTAACGAGGGATCGATTTGTGCAGGCATTAACTATATTACTTAATAGTAAAAGGGATGACAATAAATTTTTTCTAAGTCAAAATGAATATGAATCCAAAATTTAAGAAGTAAAGGCGGCCAAACTATTACTTCAAATGACTTTATCAAAAAAAAAAACTCAAACTCATTATAGACTAGTAAATAGATACGACATTTTAACATTAAATGGCAAAGATCGTTTGATACGGCCGGTAGAGGAAAACACTAATAAAATATTATATTACGTGACAAATGAGGAGCTATATGATTTTTTACATTCGACTCATGCTTAAATAGGACATGGAGGGCGAAACAGGATGTTTGCCGAGTTAAAAAACAAATACTGTAATGTGACAAAAGAAATTATAATGGTATTTTTAAAACTTTGCATTCAGTGTCAAAAAAAATCGGCTACTCCCAAGAAAGGATTAGTTTCTAAACTCATTTTGCACTCTAATTTTAATTCTAGAGTTCAACTGGATTTAATTGACATGCAGACACAAGCATATAATGACTACCGATTCATTTTCGTTTATCAAGATCACCTTACAAAGTTCACAATACTTAAAGCACTGAAATCCAGAAGGGCCATTGAAGTTACAAGTCACTTTTTGGAGATTTATACCACGTTTGAGGCTCCTGTAATACTTCACTCGGACAACGGACGCGAATTTGTGAATTCAGTAATAATTGAATTACATAAAGAGTGGAAAGATGTAAGAATCGTTCATGGCAAACCTCGTCATAGCCAGAGTCAAGGTTCTGTAGAAAGAGCAAACATAGATGTAGAAGAAATGCTTGCCGCTTGGATGGCCGATAATCAATCTTTAGATTGGCCCAAATCTCTTAAATATATTCAGTTCCAGAAGAACCGCGCTTTTCATAGTGGTAAGTAACAATAAAAATATTTATTTTAAAATAAAAAAATTGAATTGTTGGTAGGAATTGGTATGAAGCCATGTTCGGATATCCCGCTAGAGTTGGATTGGCATCAACAAGTTTACCACAAAATGAGATATTTAATTTAACTTCAGAAGAAGACAATGAGGAATTACTAAATGAACAAAATGAATTTTGTCGAACAGAAGAACAAAATACTTAATGTTGAATTCGAAAATCAACCTAATCTACAATCCGCTATAACTGATAATAATACAGAATTCGAAAATCGATTCAATCTAAGTCAATCCGCTATAATTGATAAGAATACAGAATTCGAAAATCAACCCAATCTAAGTCAATCCGCCATAACTAATGTTAATACAGGTAAAAGAATTTATAAACAAAGTAATTAACTAACCCTCAGAATGTTCTACATTATTTCTTTCTGAGCAAGGTTGTAATTCCAATGCAGCATGCGTTAATTGCACCATGAAGTCGAAAATTTTCCTTGAACGGAAGAGATCAAAAGAATGTTTAGAAAAACAAGCAAAGAAAATGATGAAACTATCAAACGAGAAGTTTTCTGAAGTGGACGTAGGTAGAACTGTACGCGTTCCTATACCTGATGTTGACAGGGCAAGGTGTGCTCCTCGCAGTGGATTTTAAAGGATTTTACACGCTTGGTAAGAAAATAATACAATTTTTTTGCAATAAAATGGATAAAAGAGATAGGTACGAAATATGACATAGATATGTTTTCTATTTTATTTTAGGGACAAATTCTGGTATTTTGAAACAAAAATTTACGAGATCCGAATTTAATCCCTGTGGAGAAAATTTGCTGGAATCTGACGATGTTTTAGGAGACAAAGAAATAAGCTTGAGAGAAGCAGCGGGAACTAGTAACATTTTGGGAGCACAAGGATATAAAAAATGTCATTTCAAAACAGCTTGTAAATCAAATAAATTACTTAGCTGCCGTGCAAAAGTGTCAATTACACAAACAAGCACGAATAAATTTCTTATTTTTATATGAAACAAATCAAATTTATTAATTTTACCAATTTTATTTTTGTAAGCTAGAATAAAGAAAGTTTCCGTTTTTTCAATGTAGGTAATACCTATTATATTTTATAATATTAAACGTTTTTTTCAAAATAGTGTTTTTTGTGTCTCCAGTATAATTAACTAACTATTTTTATGTTAAACCACGTTTTCGAAGAAGCTTAATTAAACCTAGTGATCATTAACAACAATGTCCAAATAAAACTGATCATTCACGACAATGGCCGGTCAAAGATGTAATTATTCATATTAAAAATGATACACTCATACATTGGCCACGTTAAACGGGAATTCTCATCATTGGCCGGCTAATGACGTCAATGGAGATGAAACGTGAAAATGACATCAATGGCTGGCAGTTAACGTCTTTTCCCAGTTAACGTCTTTGACCGTAACATATATTCCATTTTATATGCCGTGACCTTATTTATTTTATAGAAAGTTATTTCCCAAATTACGCCAATGGAATGTGACGTTATATCCCCACTTTTACTGCACTCCTCTTTTATTAAGACTATAGATATATGACATAAGTTCAGTATCCAGACAACTTAAAACCTCAAAGGCTCATATAGATCTTGTTACTAATTTGGCCTGCATAACTTCTTAAATATCGGCCTAACAAGATTAATAACTAATCCTTGACCGTCTCATAAGGTTCTTTTGGTTTTAAGTCGCAACAGTTCCAGCTAGCACATAACGTTGCCAAGCTTTTCGGCGATGATGTTTTAAGAGAACGTAATAACATTGCTATATAACGTAAATGCAACGTTCATTAGAGATTTTTGAGGGAAATCAAAACCTCGCAAACTTCTATTTTGTTACTTATCTATTTAACCTGCCTGTTGTGTTAACACAACGTGGTTATGTAATTTGCTATGAAATGTATCCACGAGAAGTACTGTAAACATCACATTGTTCATTCGGAACGTAGCCATTCGTTTATGTTTATACAATAACATCTTTAATAGAAAATTTATAAATTATTTATGCGTTTTAATAGATTTGGTAAGTTTTCTCAATAAAATATAAAAATATTTTTTAAATATTTGTCAGTTGTCCGTTAATTTTATACACCAGTTTTAATACTAGCTAGGTATTTTAGTTTGTATAATAACCATTCGTGATTTTGGCTTAATATGATCGTGGAAAGACTTTCATAGTATGTAAATATTATCAATATCGCCCCTTAAAAAGTTCTGGAGAAGTGTGCAATAGTCAGAAATTTTTAACGGCAATCGATGCAAGAGGATTATAAAGTAGATACTCTTCAGGTAGCCATAACGGCAATCGATGAGCGCTCCAAAAATATGTCATTATTTCATGTCAATAATTAACGTTTTTTAAAAAGCTGGTCTACTACTTTGCAAATGTTTTCTGATGATCGTATTTGTCATATTACCACAAAATTTTTGGTGGGAAAATTAAGCAAAAATATGTACAAGACGATCCTGCCTTTACTACTTATTAATTTTACGATGTGTTAAACACGTACGCACTATACGCATATTAAAATAATATTGCGACACATTACAAAATAAATTTCTGAGAATTATCAATGAATCAATACCTGGCCAATGTCCAGAGAGTGTAATATAGTAAGTACTTAAAGTGTTTTATTAACAGGCCGTTGATAAGATAAACAATACTGGTGGGAACCGAATTGCTTTCCTGCTCAATGTTACTTACCTTATGTATACGAGATAAAAGATAAAAGGAAATGAAAATAATTATATTTTTTTCGACGAGCTTAGTAAATTGCTTCTTAGACACATTTGTATTATGAGCGTGAATCGCACTGTTAATTACGATGACAAATGTCATTCTTTGTTGTGATATATCGGCATCAAAAGAATCTAGTACGCATCGCTGCTACGCGGTAATTTTTACTCATGCGTAATTTGGTTTTTACTACGTTTTTTGTTTTGTGTTACTCTCTATCTCTATCAGGGCGTGCAGAGTCTCCTTCGCGATGTCGTGGTAATAGTAACAAGCGCCATTCTATGCATTGAGCCAAAATATTACTTCTTTTCGTTACCCAAAGAAACAATAGATACAAAATAAAGAACAATGTTAAAAATTCTAAAGAGTCCAAATTATTAGTTTCTCTCAGAATGGACATCATGTAAATACCAAATACATTTTTAAGTTCAAGCGTAGATATTATATCTTCACAAAAATGTAAAATACTTTCTGCTTTAACATCTGAAAAATTCCTTTAATGCTAACAGTAGTCCAATAAGAATTAAAATTATTTCATCCAACTAGTTCTATACATCTACACTCGTGACATATACATCAAATTCATTAATATAAATCAAATATCGACCTTTCGATATTGAAATACCAGAACGAGATAAAGGTCGAGAACATATACAAAACGAATTAATCTGTTATACAGCATGGTTCGAAGAAAGAAGAAAACAACACAGGAGCTGTGATTTGCCCAGGGAAGCCCATTAGTCTAAACTCGGGATCACCTGGGAACAGTTTTCCGGGACAAAGTAATGGCAATAAATGCCTGTGCCCAGATCATGCCAAATAATTATCTCTCTTAGAAGACAAGAGAGTCCTAATTGTAACAGACAGCCGGACAGCTCTTAAAGCATGTAAATGGTATCTCTATCTGTAACGTGTGGAGAGTGGGTTACTCCACGGCGCTTAGGCCTCATTTGGCCCATTGTGCATTCCCCTGAGATCATAGGCACCTCCTAGCTCGTGAGACAGCCTACAGATTTAATGTAGTTGACAACGTCGCTAAGAGGTACTTCTCTTATATCGGCTGGTATTAGCCGATACTCGCTGAACACAAATCTTCTAATAAATGAAAGCGAAATACATTAGATACTGATAGTAGTACAGTAAGCCTGAAGCGTCAGTACGAGTGGGTACAAGGGGACCGCCGTGTGTGCGTTAAGGATACATGTAGAAATGAAGAACTGATAGTCATCTGTAGTTTACAAGTTACAAAAAATATCTTATGAGACACAAAGCACCATTAATAATAAAAATAATACTCTCCCTAATTTGCCCCTTACGAGTGAATTTCAAGCCCTAAAGTTGCCTGAACGACTTGTGTAGGGGAAGGGATGGTTATTATTATTATTAATTGCCATCCCTAGCTTTGCAAATGAGCTCATGCAAGAAGTATTCAGTTCTTTAAATCAATATCTTTCAGCGACGTCGACAGTCTACCAGACGTTTTGTTATTGTTAGTCTCAGGTGGCTCGTTAACTTAGTAGTACCCTTTCACAAGTTCTTATTGAGAGAACTGTCATCTACGGAAAGGTAAAAGCAATAATTATGGTTTATTTATAAATGGTGGTGGTAGGGGACATTTTTTTACATCTCTGGTTCAGTAAGCCTCTATTTATTGAAACCTGGTGAATACTAAACTGGCAAAGCTTCAGTTAGACATGGTAATCTCTGGAAGTAATTTCCCTTAGGCAACTATATTTATGTTTGTTGTTCTAGAGCAGGTACATTGTCCTCTTTCAGAGTCTTTTATGGATCTGGTCTAATGACAGAGAATATTGTCTTAAGGGCATTAACATGTAGCAAATTCTATTTTGAACGTCTCATTTTTCTATGAAATCCATCGGTAGGATTCTTTAAGGATACCCTCATTATTAGGGGAATGGGAGGTTTCGGCGTGGCCATTTCGGCGTGGCCGTTTTAGCGTGGCCGTTTGGACGTCGGCCATTCCGACGCCGTCCATTTCGACGTTGGCCATTTCGGCGTTGGAAGTTTTGGCAAACCTAACAATATAATTTTTATGAATTTTAAATAATTGTTATATTTATTATAATTAGGTTTATTATAATTAAATAATAAAACTGTTTTCGTGTCGAAAGGAATGCTAAAATAAAATGTGTATATACTATTGCTGTTCGGCAGGTAGGTCTTCCGATAGAACATCAAAGGCATAATCTAAATGATCGTAGGAACAAATGCCAAAGCTATCACCGTTCTGCCATTTAGAGAGAATTGTAGATCAGCATTGTACTCCCTCGTATGTCCCATAGAAGCCACTTGTTTCCTCATATTTTGGGCCAAGTGAAAAAACAACCATTTATAGTAACGCCGGTTCGAAATCGCAATTACTCTGGGATGCAAATTTGGAACAATTTCTTTACTTCACTATTATTATACAATTGTTCATATAAAATATTAATTACACTAATATTAATTACACTACTACTCGTATTATAATTCTGATAGGTACTTGAAAAATAGATTAAAACATGTATTCCATTCCTATGCAATACCTCACTTATTTCAATACTTTACTTATTTCATAATAAAACTTACAGCGGTCAGCGGTTTTAATATACATACTAAAAAATCTGATGTGTCCAACACATGACTTTCCTATCTAGTTATTACAGGCTTTTTCCGGTTATTTTGTACAACCTATTGCAGCATCTCTATAAATGTTTAGAGGATAAACTAAATATATACATTGTCCACATACATCTACCGCGAAACATTTTTCTATAGATATTCATTGAAAATGAAAATAATGAAAAATTTAAATTTAGCACTTTTCCTACAATTTTTCCATTACGGTCCATTTTAATAAAATCATGTATGAACAAATA